CCCCCCCCCCCCCCCTCTCTCTCTCTCTCTCTCTCTCTCTCTCTCTCTCTCTCTCTCCAGTCACACGATTCACAAATAACGGAATTCAACGTCGCGTCGCGATAAATGTCGCTGACTAGTAATACTACTGTGTATCTCAAGCACAAGTCCACGGGGGTAAACACCTAGCCCAAAAAAGGGCAAACTGAATAAATATTAAATTTAATGTCGCAGAAGGCTCGTTTAATTTTGTCGAATATTTAGTTGCATTTTCGAATGTCCGACAACAATTATATTCGGATGTTATCCGACAACAATTATGATTATGATACTATGCGACACTGCGAATAATGGAGACTATAATCGTTGGTTTCTTAAAATCGGATCCCGGCTGATGAAGTGCCGACTAAATGCGCTACGCAGTTTTCCAGTTTACAACGTATTCCTGGAGTACACAGGGATACACGATAGGTAACAAGTTAGCACGGATGATTTCTTTGGTCTCAACCGAGGTAATTCGCCAGAGGAACAAACGACTAGCAAAGATTCCATTCCAATACTGTAGAGATGCAACTGTAATACAATATATCCGAGCGGAAGAGCGTACCGCGTCCGCGTTATAACGTCCTAACCCACGGGATGCAAAATGCGCGGAGACTCGTCATACGTTGGTCCGACCACTGCCACTGGTCAATATGTGACTTCGCACTGAGCCTCGTGCTCCTTGCGCTCCTTTCTAGCGTGATACTGGCTCTTGTGGCTAACCAAACTATTTCTAGACTTGTAACTCCTGCCGCATTGATCGCAGGACAACGATTGCGGCACGTAGAAGTGCGTGTCGGCCAAGTGTCTCTGCAAGGACCAAGCGCGAGAAAAGGTCTTTTGACAGAATCTACAGTAAGTGCGATTCGAGTATTTATGATCCTGTTCGTTGTTCGGAGCCAAGGGGTCCTGATGCTTCGAGGAAGCGTTTCGCGGTCGCAACCATCGCGCTTCCGCAAAAGACGTGACATTGTTATTTGAGGATCTTCCGAGTGTTTGTTGCTGCTGTTGCTGTTGCTTCTGTCGTTGGCCATCGTGTTGATTCTCGTGTGTCGTATCGAGATCCGTGTGCCCGTCGATCGTATGATTCGATAGGAGACAAGACTCAAAGTCATCCATTCTCGGCGAGGCGGGCTCAGATTTCAACATGATCTCCATCTGATCGTTAATGTTGTCTAACAAATCAATTATCGGCAACTCCTGATGCTGCGGTTGCACCGTCTCACCGCACTGATTTACGCTTGTACTTTGGTTCGATGGTTGTATTTGTTGTTGATACTCGATGCTGGTAGCGGACTGCCAACCCCCGTCCTCCTCGGTGACCTCCTGGTCTGCAACCAAA